TTTCAGTTATCTTTTTTGTGTTATAACATAATAATTGAATAATTAAGTTGAAATTATATTACAATAATATGACATTATGCAAAAACAATTTCTTTTGATTTATAAGGAGTTTTTGTTAGTTTGATTTGTTATACGGATTATACGGATTTGTTATACGAATATTAATTATTTCAAATGACTATATCTTTCATTTTTGCAGCCTCTATCAGAAAATTGTGGGATTACAGCTGGATATCAATATTTACATTGTATCAAATTCTCTTCATTATTTTTCCTACGAAGGCGATGCTAGACGCGAACCTTTCCATATGTTGTAGGATAATTGTTTTGATGGAACAAGTATGCACCTTTTAAAACCTGTGTCTTAAATTATGACGTTAGAAGCGAAAAGTGAATTCTTTTTGAAAAGTATACGCCGAAATGAATCAATTTTCTCGTTTTACACATTTGATAGTACAAATAAGTAAAACGTGTTGATAACTTCTTCTTGTTGTTGAAGACATTAACGTAATTTGTATCTAAATGTATTTGAACAATTAACACATAAATATATAAAATAATTGAATATTTTTCCCCCATTATTCAAATATTATAATAGATGTTGAAGCAAAAATTTTTCTGCTTAAAACAATGTTTGCTTCTTTAGATACGCATGATGATGAAGAGTTACGCTTTTGTCAGAAGCGTAGCACCTAGATTTTTGTCTTACAAACCTCATAGCGAAGCTTCGCCACCGGATTGCCCGAAATTCTCGCAATATCTGTATTTCCTTTTTGCACCAACCCTTGTGTACCGCGATAAATATCCAAGGTAAAGATATTTCATAATTTCTTAGAAAAGATAACAAGATATATTGCAATTATACAATAAAGGGACAAGAGAGAGAGAGAGTTATATAATATTATTAATTATAAAATTTTATAATTAATAATTTTTATAATTAATAATATTTTATTATTTGGCAATAATGGATTTATGTGGCTTTAGAAAAAAATTTCCAAGTTCGTTCGCGAGATATACAAGCAAAATATGTCTTAATCCTCTATAATTCGATGATATAGCTTAAAGTTTCGTGATAATTAAAAGATAATTTAATATATACTGCCATGTTGGCTACATTAAATTGAGAGACCTTCGAAAAAGGTCCGTTTGAACATAATTGGTTTTTTTTTAGGACAAAAAGAGTTAGATGGATGGTGGTAATTAGTAATTTAGTTGAATTTGGTCTAACGATCTTCTATCTCACCTTTATCTTGGAAAGTCTAGTATCACCGGTCTATTGCGTATTCGGCACGCAACATCTGGATTGGAAGTGGTTCGTCAAGAATACCATCAAGTCTAATGTCCCTGGCATTTTCTACCTTTTCACTATAAATTATCTCCTACTGCACGCGTGGATGAACGCTTGGGCGGAAATGCTGCAGTTTGCCGATCGACTGTTTTATAAAGTGAATATATCTACCTTTTCAGTAATCTACCTCACAAATATTATATGTAGGATGTGTAAATATATTCCACGTAATACATCATACTGTCATAGCTTCAATGTACGTAATGCGTTATGAAATCTAAGTTTACAACTTCAGAATTATCTCAAAACTTTTTTACATGATAATTTCGTGAGAGGAGTAAGGTCCCAATGGTCGGACATATACCTATGCCCGGACACTTACACAAAATTTATTATTATCATTCTCAAATGTTTTTTTTAATTACAATATTATAATTTATAATAATTATGTTTAAAGGTTACGGTTAGATTATAATATTATATTTAAAAGAACATTGAAGATTAATAATAATATATAATAAATAAGTAAAAGTTTTGTGTGAATATCTGGACACAGATTTACATGTCCGGTCAGTGAGACGTTTACCTTACAGCTGCACGAGGCAAATATTTCTCTCAAAGAGGAGGGAATTCCGATATCGTATATAAAATTCTAATAAGTTTTGGAAGGTATTGTGGATTATCCACTTTTATAAACTGCAGCTTCATGAATTATTGTATCTTTTGTTACAGGACTGGTGGAACAGTACGACTTACCACATGTTCTTTCGCACGTGGAACGTGGTAGTGCACGACTGGCTGTACACATATATCTATAAGGACATGTACGAAATCGTGGTACCGTACAACCGGATGTTGTCAGCTGCTACTGTATTCTTCATCTCTGCCATCGTCCACGAGTACTTAGTTGCGTTTGCAATCGGCTTCTTTTACCCTGTATTATTTATTTTTTTTATCATAGGTTTCCCCATGTTCTTCGTCCGCAAGACTATCACTAGCAACTTTCTTGTGTTGTTGTTATTGATCCTTGGCAGCGGTATCTGTTTGAATTTATTCGCGATTGAGAGATATGCTCGGCACAACTGTCCACCTCATCCCAATTACTACCTGGATCTGTTCATACCGCGAAGCTGGAGCTGTCAGGAACAATTTAACGCGTAGATCTTTTCCATTTGCATGGACGATAAAATCAAAGGATTAGGATTGTTAAAAAAATGGGACGATATTTATACAGTCAGAGACTTTTTAAAAACTAATATTACTATAAAAATTTGTGTTAAATTGGAAAAGAACAAAGATCTGTTTGTTGATACAACTTGCAATAATAATAGGATCAATGAAGATCCAGATCCAATTGCTAGTAAACGGTAATTCATTCATTGAAATTGCACAATCTTAATTTAATTTAAAAAAATTTTTTTTTATTAATGAAAGTAACTGCAACTTTTTTCTAAGACACTGATAAGATCATTTGAAGTAAGGTAATCTGAGCCGAATAAGGCCCAAATAATTAATTTTATTTTTTTTTAATTCTATTTATGAGGATATTGAAATAAACTAACAATAAGTGAGAATCAAATTTTCATTTCATTCACTTAAAAAAAATATATTGTTTATATAGAATATGTGTAAATGAACAAAAAATATTTTGTTAAACTCTGACATTGAGCCTTATTACATGTTGCATATAAATATAATAAGGCCCAAATCAGAAGTAAATTTAAAATAACAAAAAAAGTAAACATTTTCTTTTTAAATCAGTTTTAAAATTATTATTAATCGTACACTGAAAAAAAAGATTGGCTG